ATTTTTAAAATTTGAAATAAAATTGGGTAATGATTTTCATTATTAATGAACTCTAATAATTGTTGAACATTTTATAAAAACATGTATTTATAAATTAAGTATATTGTTTTATCCTAAAACGTTTAATTATAAATCATTGCATATTATTTGTTTTGAAATAATTTAAAATTTTTATCAATCAATTTAAAATATCAACTTTGTCTCAATCCTTTAAACTCCAAATCATAAACCCTAAAACCGGTATGCTGTGGATGCATGGAGATCAAAACGCTACACAACTACCGCATTTATGAAAATTTCTAATTTTAGTTAAACTAAAAAGTTGTTTCTGTTGAACAACGATATTAGTTTGTATTTAAAACTAGTTATATTCAATAGTTAATTTTAAAAATTGTGCAAAGTAAAATACAGTAAGTTTTTAGTAAAATACAGTTCAAAGTTAAAGAAAAAAAAAGGTTTGCATTAAAGATAGAAACGGTCGATGTTTTTTTTTAGTAACTTAAAAATATATTAATAACAATAAACATCATATTTTCTTATAATAATTTTTCATCGGCTGTATTTTTCAAGTTAAATATTTTGACAGAACGTATTTGCAGTAGTTTTAACACCCAGTGGGGGCAAGACTTGCTTTAGACGTCTAAAAAACGTTTTATCACGTTTTAAAGCATCTAAAACATGTCTTGTGCCCACTGGGAGGTACTACGAACATTTCAATTAAACAAACGAATGCATTTGTTATTCATTATACATTTCAGTATAAAATATTAATTTAACATAAAATTAATTTAACATAATATTAATTATAAACTTGATTTTTTTTACTTTAAGATGAATTTATTGCAACTCATTTTACTTCAGTTAATTTTTAACAAAATGAACTGAAGTTAATTTTTAATAAAAACTGTAGTCATTCATAATACTACAGTAAATTTTAAACAAAATTAACTGAAGTCATTCATACTACTTCAGTATATTTTTAACAAAATTAACTGAAGTAATATGAATTGTAGTTAGCTTATTTTAATTATATGTTAAAAAGAACTTAGTAATTGTAACTTAGTAAAAGATACATCGTTTGAGGATCACATTATAAACTTTTTACATTAACTCCTCGAGATGGAGTATACCTTTACTAATTGAAGTATACCTATACAAATTGAAGAAGCACCAGTTTATATCATTTTTGAAATTAACTAAAAATCTTGAACAGCAAATTATAGATCAAGACACAATTTTAAAAACAAACTCTACCGGGAATGTTGTAGAATATCTTAAAAAAATATCATCTAGTGACAGACTAAAGCATCGCACCGAGAAAATAATCGCAGTTGATTCAATGCAACCTGAGTCTATGTTAAGAAACATACAGCAAACAAGAAGCAAATGTGCAAGCACTTGGTTAAACGCCTTACCGCTAGAAAACCAAGGTTTTGTTTTAAACAAAGAAGAATTTCAAGATTTGCTTACGATATAATTATGACTTAAAAAATCTCGTAATTTTGAATGAGTAGAACTTTTCAATGTAACTCATGCTTTTTTGTGTAAGAAAGAAAAAGCATGAGTTACATTGAAAGTTCTATTATGATAACATAAGATATTTGTTCACTACAATGCTTAGAAGAGTGAGCATAAATGTTCAATCCGAACCACACCTCATATCCCTTGATGATGAGAATTTTCATTTCCAAACAGCAAATAAAAGTAACCAAGCTGGTTTGGATATTAAAGCAAATGGTTTTTGACGAAAAGGACAGACAGCATTTTTTGACATAAAAGTTACGCATGTCAATTCCATGAGAAACAAAAGTCTGGATATAGCTGCTATATTCAGAATACACGAAAAAGAAAACAAAATATAAAATGGCGAACGAGTTCGTGAAGTAGAACATGGTAGTTTGACACCACTATTGCTTGGTACAAATGGAGGTGTGGGTGAAGAATGTCATAAGTTTGTTAGAAGACTAGCCTTTTTAAAAACTATCGGAAAAACAAAACAAAAAAACTCGTTTTGTTTTTCCGATAGTTTCTAAAAAAAAATACTCAAATTCTTGCTTTTAAGCAATCTATCTTAAAATCAACACTGATTTCAAAATCATTTTTTCTAGTCCACGGTGTTCTTGAATCTCTTAAACAAAGGGTAGTTGAGCGAAGTCTCGAAAGATCGTGGTTAAAAGACGTATTCTTTTATCAAAGGTTAGTTTAGTTTTAATTGAAATGTCATCAAATCAAGATAAGAATCGAGAAATTTTTATTTATTTTTTTGTTGAAGGTCCTGGTGTATCAAACAAAAAAAAAGAGTTGCTTTGAGAGCAGTGCAGATTGCTTTGAGAGCAGTGCAGAGCGTTGTAAAAAAGAAAAAACTTTCCTGTCGTAATAAAAAGCGAGAAAATGTTGCAATTTGTTGTTTAATGCTTAATAAAAAATGTGCTAAATAAATCATGTTTGATTATTAATGATGAAACTTATTGTGCTGCATATTTCCGATCTCCTCTAGGAAACTAATATTATTCAACAACTAATCGCAAGAAATTGAAAATAAAAACGCATTGGGACGCAAAAATTTGCTTAAAACTTCTTAGTTAGGCTAACAATTTGTGAGTGTGGTGAAATAAACTCTTGTTTTGTGACAACGGGAACAGTTAACACCGAAATATACGCCGAAGAACGCCTCAAGAAGCATACTTTGTCGTTTTTAAAATCTAATACGAGTAATCTTTTATTTTGGCCCGATGTCACTACTCGGGTCAAATTTAAACTGACTTAAAGAACATAAAGTAGATTTCGTTGAAAAACACTGCAATACACCTAATTGTCTCGAAATATGTCTTATCAAAAGATATTTTGCTATTGTCAAAGGAAAACTAAAATTCAATATAAAAAAAGCTAAAAACATTTAGACTTCAAAAATAAATGGATTTGAACTACCAAGAAAGTCCAGCCGAAGACCGTGCAAAAGATGGTGTACAGAGTGAAATGCAAAGTGCCTGCTTTCTCACGTACACAGCTTCACAAACTTACTTAAGTGAAATTTAAGGATATAAATACATGTACTTTTAAAACATATATATAATATTCACTATCAAAATACAATAGTTTAATGAATATCTTTTAAAATATCCGCGCAGATTTTTTCTGGTATCCCTACAGGCATTTGCTTCTAAAAGTTACGTTCTAAATATCTTTTAAATGTTTTTTAAATGTCTTTTAAACGTTCTTTACGTAAGAATGTTTAGAAGACGTTTAAAAGACATTTAAAATACATTTAGAACGTAACCTTTAAAAATAAATGCCCGCTGGGACATGTCTTATATTTTGATTAACCTATGTCATATTGTGTATATTTTTTTCTATTTGTTAAATATCTTTCAAAATTGAAAGAAGATTGTACTGCTATTATCGTCAGAACCTTTTACATTTCGGTAATTAAGTGTTCAATAATGGTAACTAATTGCTCTGCAAAGCGTTTATTTTCTTACGTAAAAAGAATAAAAAACAAACAGAGAACCTTAATTGGTCAAGAAAGGTTAGGTTGCTGCGTATTGAATCTGATATGAGAAATAAAGATTGACAACATTGTTTCTAATTTTACAAAAAGAAAATCAAGAAAGAAACTCTTCTAAACTTTTGGGTGAATTAAAATTTTGCAGTGACTTTTTCATCGACTTGTTTATTGAAATAACTCATGAATATAATGTCATTAAGGTAGAAAGATTAGTTAAGCTTAAAATTGTGTCTGGTCTGTGAAATTCATTTGATCTCGCAACAAAGACCCGCAACAAAGTCTGAGGCTGGTCTAGGCCAGCCTTAGACCGTTTTTAAACCGGGCCCAGTATATTTAAAAAAAACTAACACACCTTCGATATTCATTTTATGTCTGAATAATAATAAAGTTTTTAGGATAAGTAAATATAATATTAGCACTAAAAAGAACAACACAAAAATGAAGTTTAACTAATCTTCTTTTTATAAAGTATCTATAAGTTCAAATAAAATTTTAAATAAAAACACTTAAAGATACATTTTACAACACATACGCAAAGCACGTATGTATTGTAAAATGATGAAAATGAAAAAATACTACTTATGTGTATATACTATGCTACTTATGTGTATATACTAAAAAATACTACTTATGTGTATATACTATGCTACTTATGTGTATATGCTACTTATTTTACTTCAAAAGTTGACAAGTTTTAAGGTAATTTATGTATAGAAATAAAATATGGCTGTATGGAAATGACAGAAAATTGCCTAAAGATTATAATAATAGCCAAAAATTTAAATAAAAATTAGACAGTCGTGGTGCAGTGGTTAGAGTTCTGGTTCAGAAGCAAGAGGTTCGCGTTTTGATACCGACTCTAGCCAATAATTTACATTGATAAGTAAAGTGGTGACAACATACTAGTTAATTGCGCTTTCGCAGTGCTCTGTCATAAGACCGTTCCGCAGTGCTCTGTCATAAGACCGTTAAGACTTCCAAGAGCACCATTAAAACCATAAAATAATTCAACTTTTTTATGGAGGTTCAATTATTTTAGTTTTTTTTTCAATCATTTGAGTTATTTTAACCACAAATGCATTGAGGTATATAGTTGTTGTGATATGCGATAAATATAAAAAAGTAAACAAAAGATTGCATAATAAATATTGAACTAAGCATTTTAAGAAAAAGTACCACCTGTAACATAAATTTTTAAAAAAAATTTAAATACTGGAAATGAATTATTTAGCTTTGTCTATTGCCTGCTTCCTACGGATAATACTTAAAGATGCTTTAGAGAGCCGCATTTTACTCGGTTGCTATAGAGAGCCGCATTTTACTCGGTTACTATAGGAAAATACATTTAAATGCTTTTAAAACGCTTTTATAATATCAATATGAAATTATAATAAATTATTTATTACTAGTATTTTTAAATTATTTAAAAAAATATCGATTTAAAAAAATCCGTTTATTAATTATTTATAAAACAATTTTTTTAAATAGAGTAAAATTACACGTCGATGCACGTTTAAAAACATTTTATTTAGAAATTTAGCCTAAATACGCATAATAGACTAATAGTGGAAAGAAGCGTGTCGATACTGAAAAATTTAAATGCAAATTAAAAGAAGAAAACAAATATGGTAAAAGAAATTTTTATTTTAAAAAAAGTCTTCTACGACGATGATGCTATCGACGCTTATAGTGATCAAATAACGTATTATAACAATAATCGCCCTAAATACTCTCATAGGAAAGGAAGAAATGAATTTAGAAATAGAAATTGGGATTCTAGATTAATAGAAGATATGCAAAGGCATGACCGAAAATACATAAGGAACGAGCGAAGTACAAATATTCGAATTCCTGTTGAAATTTCTTACAAAAAATACAACAAAGCACATAAAAGTAATAGTAGAAACCTTTTGAAATATTATAATGAAAAAGATATACCCCCGTCCAGAAAAAATATGTTGCTTTATGATGAGCTCGCTTTCGAAAAAGCACCGTCATCAAAGTTTACCGACCTTTCAATAAGCCACGGCAACTACTCACCCATGGATCGTAATTTAATTTCTTCAAGTAATGATGATAACTATATTCGTTCCGGTGTATCAAAAAAGTATGTTGTTAATAGCGACCGTTCTTTAAAAAACTATTACTATGATAAAGATGATTCTTTCAATGAAAATGTTAGTACTAATCGAAATGCTAGAAACTCATTCAACCAAAATAATTTCTTAAATCTTCCAAAACCACCAGATGAAAATTTAGGTAATAAACTAAATTCGTCTTTTCATAACACAGATAAAATAAACACTACTGAGTATAACTTCTTGAATAAAGGGAATGAAGACAAAAGAAGAACGGAAATCAATACTATGGAGGCAGATGATTTTGTTGATAACAAAATAAAACATAGTAGCAACGAGGATAGAAACAAAACCTCTAAAAATATTTACAACGAATCACTTACTTCAACAAAAAATAACTCCGCATATCGTATTAAACATTACAACGCAAATATCGAACCATCTAGCTTTAATGTTAGAAATGAAAATAATGCACAAAAACAAAGTTTATCTCTTGACAACAAAAATTTAATGAGTGAAGAAAAATATTATGATAATGAAGAAGTTAATCAAGATTATTTTTATTCCAAAAAATTTAACTCCGTATCAAATGATAGTCGTCAGAATGACAGACTTCAACTAAATCGCTGTGAAGACGATAACTCTCGGTACGATAATCGACAGTTCGATAACAGCCAAAATGATAGCCGACAGTACAGTAGCCGTTTCCAAGACAACAATAAATGGAATGAATATCAGACCGAAAATCCAGAAAGTAATGCAAATATTTCGTTTAACAAAAACAAAAAACAATTAAATGAAAATATTCACGACATCAATGAAAAACAAGACGACACGATGTATTCAGTTGTATCTAAGCCTAATTCAGTGTACGAATCAAAAAGAAATAGCTCTTTAAACAAATCTCAAAATAAAACTGAAGAAGAAAAAATCAACAAAAACGAGTTTTCAAATGCTAAAATTTATCAGGATTTTAACGAAGAAAAAAAAAAAAATGTGCAGCCACGAAAATATAATGTAACGTGGCAAAATACGCCAGACTATGATTCTGAAAGGAAACAATCTCTAGAAACAATTTCGGAGAAATCTTTTCAAAATCAAAATCCAGACAACGAAAAAAGTCCTACAAGATTTGTTTCAAATATACCAGGAAACTCAATAGATGATAATCTGGATGCAGACGAAAACGCGTTGCACTTGAGACGCATATATGGAAATGAAAGTATACCATACAGTTTAAGCAGAAGTGATGAAAATTCAATTTATATTTCGAAAACATCAATTGACAAAGACGGTTCCACAACGAACAATGAGTTAAATCTAAAGGTGCCGAACAGTTATCAAGAGAGTAAGAAGATATCAGATGAAAATGTCAATGAAATTTCAAAAAAACTATCCAAAAATAATTCTGGTGAAGAGAAAAAAACTTCAAGAAAAAGTTCTATCAGTGCTTTTTTTAATTTTTCAAAACCACGTGATTCTAAGGATGCTACCTCAAATGGTAACGAATCGTTTGATTCAAAAGGTTCCATTTCTAAAAACAGTAAACGAAGTTCAAAGAGCTCAATTTTTAGCCGTAAAAAATCCCACGACTCAAAGAGTTCAGTTTCAAATGACGAAAACTTACCAGATTGGAAAAATCAAAGTTTTAATGGTAATAAATCAGGTGGTTCTGAGAGTTCAACTTTTATTGGTAATAAATTAAGAGAAGAAGGCGAAACAGCAAATTCGTCTACTGATGATCAATCAGAACTAGGTATTTATAACAATAATAATTAAATAATAATCTATTTTAATAATATTTTGCTGTTACAACACTACAACTAAAATGTTTTAATTATTGAGTCGTGCTTCAAAATTAAAGATAAAGTTAAATCATTATTGCAAGTTAATAACAATATTTTTTAATTTAGAGAACTCTATTGATAGCAATGACGAGTGTCCAGAAGGTAGAGTGCTTCGAAACGGAAGAAGAGAAAGTTACAGAGATCTTGCAACTCGAATAAAAGAAAACACAGTATACCCCACACCAACATTTTCTCGTTTTGAGGTAGTTATTTTTCATCTATTTTTAATTGTTCATGAAAATAAAAAATGATGAAAATACTTATATAAATAACATAATACTTTTATTATTTTTATATTATGTTGTATTACACTAAAACAGGTTTTGCCAAACACAGAACTCTCTTTATGTAAACTAAAACCAGACTATCCTCCCATGTTTATAAATCGAAGTTGCGAACAAGGTATTTTTGTTGGCGATCAAGGAATTCAGAAAGATGCGGTCAAATCTGGCGCTTATGCAGCAATTTACTGCGAAAACTGCAAACAATTTGTTAATAAAGAATGTGGCCCTGAATGTAAAGGCCTTGATTATCAGGACTCGGTTGGTAAAAAACAAGAAAACGAAAATAAAAAGCAAAAATAAGTAACAATAAATATTTAACTAGAAACCAATTAATCTTTGGTATTCTATAATACAAAGTATAATAAACAATTTATTTTTAAGATGATAAATTTATTATAGTAATTGGTAAAATCTAATATTCAGTAATTTTTTAAACTCGGTTTTGTATACTTTTTATATGGTGTGTTTATTTGTAAAGGTGTTTGTATATTTTCAGTATGCAGTAATCATATTTGTTTTTATACAACATGTTTTGCAAGTTTTATGGTTTTTATTTAGTCTTTTTTCTAAAACAAAAGTAAAATTTTCTTGGGTAAAAACACCTTTTGTACTTTACAATGTTATTGTACACATTGTTTTGTAAAATTTTAACAAATCAAAATTGATTGCATTAAAATTATGAATATCAATATTAAATAAATTTATAAATCAACTTTTAAGAAAACTCATAAAAGCTATACAACCTTTACAAAAAATGTTTCAATTGCAAGGCATGTTAAAAATATGAAGTTAAAACATTATAACGTGTAATCTTTGGCCTGATTGGCAGGAAAATAAATGCATTAGTGTGATGACACTTGTTTTAATCAAATAAAGTGATGCAAGATTTTGAGTACTATTGGTTAAATGGAATTTGATCATGTTTTAATACTTACTATACATTAAAATGTTTTTATATGGATTTTCGTAGCAAAAAATAACGCATGCGCAGATATTAAATTTTTGTGCTTTCTTATAAAAAAAATGAAGCTGTAATTTTATTCTTTATTATATAAATAAAAATAGTTTAAAATGTTAATTATTTTATAGATAATATATTAGAAAGGAAAAATAAATTTTAAAAATGGTAAATATAAATATAAAAATAATATAAAAATAATACGATTTTTTTTCATTTACCTTTTGAAATAACCGTCTAGAATTTCTTTATCGCTAATAAATACTTTTTTTTTTTTTTTAATCACATTTAAATTTAAATTCTCATTAGAAGACCATAAACTCTTAGTGACACATAAAGTAAAACGATGGAAAAAGAGTTTATGTTATAATACACGACAATAGGAAGTGAATCCTCTTAAATTCGCAAATGTTGATTTATAATAAGTGTTCAAGTTAAAAATTCATGTACTCATTATCACAATTATATTGGCTCAAAAACAAAAAATGTTAACAATAAGACCGTTAATCTAATACAGCATACAGGCTAAAGTTGTTGCAATACCATGCACTGTGAAATAAGGATGACATATGATATGGCAGAGATTAATACAGGTTTAGCGATGAAAATATCCTAGAAAAATTGTTTAGAATTTCCGGTAACTTTTGAAAGGTGTTTGTTTTTTAAAAGTTTTACTTTTTAACAATTTTATTTATTTTTAAGTTATAGATACTTGCTCCTTACAGTAGTCGTTAAAAAATAAATACAAATTATAATGCTACATTATAATTTGTATTTATTTTTTAAAACTATTATATCTGCTACACTAAAGTGCAAGTATAATGCATGTAAACTTTGAAAGTTATAAAAAGTAGAATATATAAATAAGAATCTGATAGTTTAAATAATGATTCAAATCTGATAGTTTTAATAAATAACTTAATAAAGTATAAGTTTACTCAAAGTTTAGCACTAAATATTTAATTTTATCAAATTTATTTTACTATATTATTTATACAAAAATTGGCTATGAAAGTAAAAAAAAAAAGGTTACAGTGCCTTAATCGCGGTAATAAACATGCCGTACCTGTGATTAATTATGCAGTTCGCATAATTAAAAGATAAATTATATCTGTTTGATTAAATTATTTATTTGAGTTCAAAAGTTTCTTTACTTTGAAATCTACAAATAGATAGATACTAAGAAAGAAACTATTTATAGAATTTATGACTCTTTTCAATACGTATATTAAGCGTGCATACATATAAAATTAAATATGTTTGTTTACTTCGTCAAGGTTCTGATAATATGTTTGATTTTTTTGGTCTTTTTTTGATGACATCATTTAGTTGCATCATTTGTTATCATTTTTCAGTTACATGGTTTACGTAATTAGCACTTACCAATTCCTTAAGTAAATATTATCTTAAGTAAATAATATTTATTTCAGTTAAAAGTAAAAAAAAAAAAAAAATCAAATATTATGTTAATATTAAAAATTAAAAAAAATTATTATTATTTTTGTCAATTAATTTTAGTCATAAATTTTATAAAAATAAATTTTTTATTATATTTAGATAGATGATTAAATTTATCTAAAGATTATCTTAGTTAAAGACATATTTACGTCAATGAAGTAAATTACACTTCACACAAGTAAATATTGCTTATGTTAAGTAATCCGAAAAGTAAATTATTTTTTATATTGATGTATATTTTTTCTAAAATATTTTGTCATCAAAATTTTTGATTAGCATTTATTCGAATTTTATCCTATGTTCTACGACTCAATTAAGTATTTTCTAAACTATTGACATGGCCCGATGAAACAGAGGCTGGGTTAACTAGAGTCGATTTGGGAATTAAAATACCATTAACGTGAAATATAATTGTTTTTTAAATTAAATTCATTATTTTGAAAGTATTTCACTGTATATCACTCCAAATATCCCAGATATATATACTCCGAGTATATTTTATTTCTAGTTTTAAAAATTAATGGAAATCTATGTGGAGATTAAAACTCAACAAATAAAAATTAAATAACTTATTTTTATGTTAAATATAAATGAAAAAACTGTTTAAAAAAGATAATATTTATAGCAAACAAACACACACACACGCACGCACACGCAGACACACAGAAACACACGCACACACGCACACACATACACACACACGCACACACACACACACGCATTAAATATATGCGCAGGTTCGGTGTTTATTTTTTATTTTTTTTTTTTTATGTTAGAAATAGCTAACATCAAGGCATGGAGCAAACTCCAAACATTTATAAGTTTGAGCTGATGTCAAACCATAACGCTTTGCAAAAAATTGCGAATATCAGAACCAGAGGAAAAAAAAACTAAAAATTTGGGTCTCCTAGTCTTTAATGTCGGAGCAATGTCGGAGCAATTTACTATTATTATCTAAATTTAAATTCACCAACAAATTACAAATTTTATGCAATAATCTCTTATTTTTCGAAAAATATGACTACATAAAGTTTTAACCCCCCTTCCCATCCCAATTTAAGGGGACTGTAAACTTTGCAGGTTCATAAAAACCAAACACTGAGAGAATATTGTATGTAAATATTGTATTGAATATTGAAACTTGCCGCATCTGTATATGCGCGTGTGTGTATATATACAGACATACATATTTATAACACACACTATATATATATATATATATATATATATATATATATATATATATATATATATATATATATATATATATATATATATATATATATATATATATATATATATATATATATATATATATATATATATATATATATATATATATATATATATATATATATATATATATATATATATATATATATATGTATATATATATGTATATATATATATATATATATATATATATATATATATATATATATATATATATATATATATATATATGTATATATATATATATATATATATATATCATATGTTAATATATTATTAACCTATGATATGTCATAGGTTAATAATATATAATGAATATATAAATAATTCATAAGTATTGGTAAATACGTGAATACATAAGTATTCTTTGTTTAATCTAAATATATAAAAAACGTTGAATAAAATTATGAATACAAGTTTGTGAATAAAATTTGTTTCCATTTTTTAATTTTTTAATTTATCTTTTTTAATCAAATAAACTAACAATAAATTAAAAAAAAATATTAGTAGAAGAAAAGTGTTTGATGTTAGCCCACTACAATAAAATACTGATGGCATAAAAATGAAAAAAAATTGGTATGTGGTTATTATTGATAATGTGTTAATGCTGCTAGGCATTTAAATTGTTTTGCTACATGGAAAGCTAAATATAAATCACATCTCTTCATGAAGGAGATGATTTTTTATGATGTCAGTATTCTTTTTGAGGAATAAAACTCATATTATAAATGGGTTATTGTTTTGATACTATAGTCTGTAAAAACACGAGGGAAGAATATTCAATGTTTTAAATTTTCTTTTAGATTTTTATAGCTTTGTAACAAATCATTATAATTTTGTTCCAAGGTATAATAAATCATTCATAAAAGAATAAGAATATGTCGTCCATGACTTTAATAAAAATTTTAATATTAAAATGTAAATTTTACGTCTTTATGCCATTATTCGACTTCAGAAGATCATTTGAAAAACTTTAGAATGTTCTCCTGTAAAATGTTCAAATTTGACATATATTGTTAATGTCATGCACAACAAATGAATACTTGTTGCATTTTTTAAGAAGCAGCATATTATGTGGTATTCTTGTAAATGAAGCACGTGTAGCAATTTTAAGATCTCTGTGGGACTTCTTTAGAGACGTTAAAATTGGATCATGGAGTAGGAGCAGGGCTAAATTAAGCCATTTCGGTGCTCCAGACACATAAACTTACGTGGCTGCTGGTATGTCCAATATTAGGCAAAAACTAAAAACGAAAAACAGTTATTAATAAATATGTTTTTACTACTTTCATCTTTATATAGCCTATAAAAAGATAATTCTGTATTAAAATTAATTTTGTAATCATAATATTAAAAAAAATTCTTCAGTTTTTTTAACAGACAAGAAAGTAAAAAAGAGCACTCATTAACATTTTAAAGTTCATTTTTCTAGATTTACATCTTGCATTGTTTATGAGTACATCATGAAAGTTAATTTTGCGCAATAAGTCTGGGTCAATCACCAGCAAAGATAAGAAATATACCTTTTCTTATTTCATTGTTAATCTACTTGGATTTTTTGTACTTTTTAACTGAGTAAAAGAGTGCACATTTGAACAGTTTTAACTATTAAAGTTAAAAATGTATGCAAGTTAATTTGGAAATACATTTAGAGCACTCACAATGTTGTCTCTAAATATTATTTTTAGAAAAGCACTCACGATGTTGTCTCTAAATATTATTTTTAGAAAAGCACTCACGATGTTGTCTCTAAACATTATTTTTAGAAAAGCACTCACGATGTTGTCTCTAAATATTATTTTTAGAAAAGCACTCACGATGTTGTCTCTAAATATTATTTTGTATAACTCTGTATGACTAAACGTATTTTTTTCACATTTTGATGCGCAAAACTATAAGTGAAACTGTTGTAGTTCAGTATATAAACTAATGTTCATATCTTCAGGATAAGCATTTATTAGTCCTTAAAAACACTAAAGTTTGTGGTACATTTAATAAACAAGAAAATTGAACTGCTATATCAATATATACATGTCCTCATCTACTTATCTCTGTCTCAAGCTTGTCAATATTGGCGTTGAAAGCAAATATGCTAAATTTTTCTCTGGCATTCAAAGGTATCTTAGGGGCATCACCATCAATGACTACTGTCTTTCGTTTACGATTACGGGTCAAAGTTGACTTAAAATCCACATTTGGTGCTATTTCTTTTTCAGTTTCTTCAAATCTTTCAAATTCATTCCAAGATTCATTTAAGCAATCTGCTGGTGAAGAATACAAATCAACACACGTTTTCAAGTTTACGGCTTATTCTGCAGAGTTTGACTGACCCGATAAAAATGTCGCAACACTTCTCCCAAAAACAAACATGAAAGCAATTTCTAATTTCTGAAAAGTTTTCAGAGAACATTATCTTGTTATACTCTCTCCAGCATAAATACGGCAAGATTTACCAAAGTGATGCTGACAGTTAGTTGACCCACAGTTAACCTAGTATGCCGCACCATTAGCGGTGAAGTCAATCCACAATACTAAATCTATTATTTTATTCATTTTATCAACTTTTTCTTTATCACCTTTATTGTTATTAACTACATCTTTATCATAATCTTCAGTGTGTGGATTTGAAAAACAGCTTTTAGAGAGTTGATGGTGTCATTAAAATATTTTTCCACCTGTTGCTTACCAAAAAGTAAATAATTCGTTAATTTTATGCTTTTAGCTGTTTCAACAGAAACAGTATGCAGTCTGAAACTTAAAAAAAACAGTATGAAAAGATGTAAATAAAAAATGAATAA